TTTTTATTAATTTATTTTGATTTATCAACAATCACTTCCATATGCTTTTGAGTTTAAAATTTTTCTCCACCTCCCTCCCCAAGATGGTGCATAATCTAATATAGGCTATACATATACATTCCTATTAAACATATTTTCACATTAGTGATGTTGTAAGGAAGAATTAGAACCAATAGGAGGAACCACCAGAAAGAGGAAACAAAACTCAACAGAAGAGAAAAAAAAATAGCAAATAGTATGCTTCGATCTGCATTCAAATTCCATAGTTCTTTCTTTGGATGTGGATAGCATTTTCCATCATGAAGGCCTTTGGAGATGTCTTAGATCCTCTCATTGCTGGGAAGGGTTAAGTTTATCAATATTAGTCATCGCACAACGTGGTTGTTATTGTGTACAACGTTCTCTTGGTCCTGCTCACTTCACTCAGCATCAGACCATACAAGTCTTTCCAGATTTTTCTGAAGTCAGCCTGTTCATCATTTCTTATAGCACAATAGTATTCCATTACATTCATATACCTCAGCTTGTTCAGCCATTCCCCAATTGATGAGCATCCTCTCAATTTCCAATTCTTTGCCACCACAAAAAGAGCTACTATGAATATTTTTGTACATGTGGGTCCTTTTCCCATTTGTATGATCTCTTTGGGATATAGCCCTAGAAGTGCTATTGCTGGGTCAAAGGGTATGCACATTTTTATAGCCTTTTGGGCATAGTTCCAAATTGCTCTCCAAAATGGTTGGATCATTTCACAACTCCGCCAACAATGCATTAGTGTTCCAATTTTCCCACATTTTCTCCAACATTTATCATTTTCTTGTTTTGTCATCTTGGCCAATCTGATAGGTATGATGTGGTACCTCAGAGTCATTTTGATTTGCATTTCTCTAATCAATAGTGATTTAGAGCATTTTTTCATATGACTATAGATGGCTTTAATTTCTTCAACTGAGAACTGCCTGTTCATATCCTTTGACCTTTTATCAATTGGGAAATGACTTGTATTCTTATAAATTTGACTTAATTCTCTATATATTTTAGAAATGAGGCCCTTATCAGAGAAACTGGTTGTAAAAATTCTTTCCCAATTTTCTACCTTCCTTCTAATCTTAGTTGCATTGGCTTTGTGCAAAAACTTTTCAATTTAATGTAATCAAAGTTATCCCTTTTGCTTTTTGTAATATTCTCTATCTCCTGTTTGGTCATGAATTCTTCTATTTTCCATAGATCTGACAGGTAAACTATTCCTTGCTCTCCCAGTTTGCTTGTAGTATCAGTCTTTATATCTAAATCATGAACCCATTTTGACTTTATTTAGGTATATGGTGTGAAATTTTGATCAATGCCTAGTTTCTGCCATACTCTTTTCCAGTTTTCCCAGTAGTTTTTTTTTCAAAAAGTGGATTCTTATCCCAGAAGCTGGGATCTTTGGGTTCATCAAATAATAGATTACTATAGTCATTGACTACTGTGTCTTGCATATTTAACCTATTCCACTGATCCACCACTCTATTGCTTAGCCAGTACCAAATAGTTTTGATGATTGCTGCTTTATAATACAATTTAAGATCTGGAATGGCTAGGCCACCTTCCCCTGAATTTCTTTTCATTAGTTCCCTCGATATTCTGGACCTTTTGTTCTTCCAAATGAATCTTGTTATTATTTTTTCTAACTCTATAAAATAATTTTTGGTGGTTTGATTGATCATAATACTCTTTAGAATTATTTACTGCTTATGTCTCCATTACAGGATTTTAAGCACTAGCCCTTTGGACCACTGCAAACTACAAAATGGAAACCATTGAATGAACCTTGTTCTACTCAGTTCAAATAATCCCCTGACTACATATTTGTAATAAAATAAACCCTTTTTTATTTTCCTTTAACAAAATTTTACTTTTAGCAAAAATTTATTTTTTTCTCCCTCTCAACTCCTTTCCTCTAATCCCACTAAAAGAAATAAAATCTTTGTAAAACCTATGTAGCCAAGCAAAACAAATTCCTATATTGGCAATGTCCAAAAATTGTGTGTTATTCTATATCATGAGGGAAATATTTCTCTTTCAGGTGGTGAGTAGCTGGTTTCCTCTTTCATAAGAGGTTGAAACTCTAATTAGTTTTGAAATAATACTTAATGGAATCTCTGTCCTTATGCAGTTTTCCCCATGGTCCAGTTTAGCAAATTTATTAAAGTGGGGCCTGTTTGCACTTCTATTTTCAAGCTTAACCATGGTTTAATAATTAGGATCTTTTACCTTCCCAAAAGTCATTAATGCCTATACATAAATGATATATGTTTTAATGGCTATAAGTATGTATGAAGTTAATATGTTCCAATACTTCATTATTGGACTACTAACCTAGGATATTACTTTCTTATGATGACATCTATGAGAAAGTCAAAAGGCCTCATTTAATATAATAAATAATGTCTTTTATAGTATAAATAGAAACAGAATTCTAATGAAAAATTTCATTGATTTTTCCCCATTATGAACATTAACTCTTTTTCATTTGTGTGTGTGTGTGTGTGTGTGTGTGTACACTAACTTAGTTTTTTTTTAATATTTTATATGCATTTCTCCCCCATCCCTTTGCACTTACTAGGAACTTCATTCATTTGGAACAAGGGTGGATATAAGCTATGGGAATGCTAATACATTTACTTAATGTTACACCAAAAGTTTTATGTTTTCTGCCTTTGATATATGTGGTTGTATTGAAGTTATTTGTCAGAATGTTACATAACATGTATTCTTGGCGTTCAGAGAAAGGATAAATATAATTCACCATTAGATGATGGGGAACAAACCATTTAAATCACAAGCTTATTAAAGCTCTCTGCTCTTTTTTAGGAGTTATTCGGCACGTTGGAGATGCTTTAAAGGATCATGCATCAAAATCTCGAGGGAAGATATGTACCATAGGTATTGCTCCCTGGGGAATTGTAGAAAACCAGGAGGACCTGATTGGTAAAGATGTAAGTCTTGTTATATTGCCCTCATTATAAGTAACTGTAAAAAGAGGGGAGGGTAGATTGAGTCTTTGTTCATAGTGGGTTTTTTTAAGTGGTGGTACTAATTTTATAAGATTTATTTTTTCTGGCTCAGATTCCTAAAATCTAGCCATGGCTCTAATTCTTAAAATCTAGCCATTGCTTACCCAGGTTTCAGACTCCTTAAGAGTCTGCCCAGTATGGTGGATGTTCTAATAAACCTTGTCTTTGGCTGAAAAAAAAAGATTTATTTTTTCTACTTCCTATAATGAAACTAATGGTAAAAGTTAGTGTTTCTAGATAAATTCACATTTTCTTAAACTAAACAGCTATTTCAATTAGAAAAATTAGGAGCAAATTATGCTTCCTTTTAATCATATTAGTCGTTAATGAACTCTGTCATTTCTTCTCTGATTTGGATGAGGTCTTTCACCTAAACATTTGTTAACTCATTTTCCTTCTAGCATAAGGTCCTAAGAGTTAGAACATTTACCAGTGTTGTTAGGAAGTGTAGCAGTCAGGGCAGGCTAAGTTCTATTCCAATGAAAATTTCTACTTGTATACCATTAGCTTGAATAAATAAATTCTGCATTCCAGGGCAAATGCTTCTAGAGTCCATCAAAAAGCTTTGCCATAATAGCAGGCAGCAAATAACTGATCCATGTTATATTAAAAAATTCTTATTTATCTAGAATGGTTAAGATGAGGATTGGGGAGCCTGATTTTGCTAATGGAATATTTTGGTTAGCTAAGCATATACTTTATGCCCTACTTGAATTGGCCACCAACACATAATATACACTCAGTAAATATTGTTGCTGAGATGAATTGTTAATTTTTAAAGACAGATATCACTAAAAACTATACTCAAGCACTATTTGTACATAGTAAGCATTTAACACATATTTTTCAAGTTAATGCATATAGTTTTTTTTATTAAGATTCAGAAGTTATATCAAGGTCTTTTAGCACTTAAGGGTCATCGTTATGAGCATCTTATACAATATTATGAACTGATCTGTTTATTTGACCTTCCTGGTTGTTTTAGTTTCTGCCTGAGAGTTTACTGTGTTTTCATTTCTGAAATAGAAAATAATTATCTATCTGAGTCACATAAACAAACATACAAATTAACAGTTTGATTTGTTTCATTTAGCTGTAAAAGAGAGGAAGATAGAAAGGGAGGATGAAACAGAGGGTATTTCTATAATATATAAGGTTTTGTTAATCTCTGTTTGCCTTAAGGGCTTAGATTCATCCAAAACCTTATTGACTTTGAATAGTTACTCCTTATAAATCCTTGAGACTTTTGTAAGAACCTTTGAAATTCACTTGTTTAGATTAGAAAATCCATTCCCTGCCCTAATGCACTTTTGTCCCACACTGCTGTTAACTTTATTGGAATTTTAACAGCAAAATAAATACTGTAGAATCAAATTTTTCTTTCTGCATTACCTTAAGCTTGTATTCCTTAACTGTATCTAAGTTCATTTTTAGGTTATATAATACAATCCAATATGGTGCTGAAGATAAAATAAAAACTCAAAGTTTAAAAATTTATAAGTGATAAAGAGATGGAAGCTATGTCAGTCAAGTCCCAAACATCTCTATATTTGAAAACATCTGGATAATTAAGTGTATTTTTTAAAATTTATCTGGGTGTTTGGCCACCACACACACACACACACACACACACACACACACACACACACACACAGTTATACCTAGAAACTAAATTTAAGATGCCAGCAGCAAAAAAAAAAAAAAAAAATGAACAAGTTTATCTATCATTTATCTTTTTGTGTTGAGAATTTGCTTCCAAAAAGTAAAAGGTGATTGAGTTTCATTCCCATATTAGAGAGGCAAGCATGCTTATCAGATGCAACCAGTTTCATTAATTCTCACTTAACACCTGTTAAACAAGCCCTTCCTGCTCCATAAATGAACTGTTTTAATTTGTCTAAAGTTTAAACAAAAGATAAGGCCTGAATTTGCCAACTGTTCTTCCTTGAGTTGACTACTACCTAGACAGCCTTCTATCAGCATAATAGACTGTCACTCAGATTTAATATGAACTCAATCATTCAGTAAATATTTATTATATGCCTACTATGTGCTAGTCATTCAATAAATTTGGCAAATACAAAGACAAAAAGGAAACCATCCCCGCCCTCAAGGACCTTATATTCTATTGAGTAAAAACTGAAAAATACATAGAATAATAATAGCAATGTATATAGAATAGTTCCTAGGGTGGGATTGTGGGAACACTAGCTACTGAGGGGAATAGTAGAGGTTTCCTGAAGAAAGTGGCATTTATTTTGGTAGGATTTCATGCCACACCCCTATCCTGGAGCCCAAGCTCCGCAATTCACGACAATAACAAAAGCAACCGTTAATAATAAGAAGAAACATTTTAATACATTTTTAAGATTTTAAAACATTTCACAAAGGTTATCTTATTTGATTCTCTGGGTGGTAGGTGCTATTATTTTCCCTATTTTACAAATGAGAAAACAGGCAAATGGAGGTTAAGTGACTTGCCTAGGGTCACACAGCTAGTAACTGTCTGAGACTCAATTTGAACTGAGGTATTTCTGACTCCTTCTATCTTCCATTTCTCCATTTCAAACTGTTGCTTTTTTTCTTGGGCTTGCTATCTTCTCTTTTCCATCTCTATATTTTTCCTTCTCTTTCTTTAATTTTCCAAATAGAATGTAAGTTTCATGAGAGCAACTTCATTTTTGTCTTTATGTATCTTCAGTATCTAGCCTGGTTATGTTCTAGATGCTTAAAGAGTAATTGTTTATTGATTGGTTTACGTGTTCACTGGTTTCTTATACCAGAGTATCACAAAGACATTGATGAAGCACAGTGCTGATTCTGATCATTGATCATGACACAGATGGCAGCCAATGTTTTTGGTTTGGTCAATAAAAGGCCTAGGACAGTGTAAATAAACATTGTTAATGGTCATGAAGACCTAGTGAAAGAGAAACATGGCATATCAAGTTAATTATAACATGGAGGTTTTGCCTGATTTCTGTCCTGTAACATCAACTTGAGAGGCAATGAGAAAAGCACTGAATTGGAAGTCTGAGATCCTGGATTTGAATTTATGTTCTACTATTTGCCATCTGTGTGACCTGGAGGGAGCCACTGTAACTGTCTGGATATTTTTTCTTCTGTGCAAAATAGAGAGGTTTGACTTTGTTTTCCAATAAGTGCTTTGCAAACCCTGTAGGAATTCATGACAATGATCCTAGTGATTCAAACTCAAAATTATTTAATGATAACTTAAGGAGTACATAATTACAGAATATTATGAATAGTATACTAAATTACCCTGAGAGTTCAAAACACGTTGTTGTTGTCTCTACAAAAACACTGGCTATCTCTAGTCTACGTGATTTCTAATCTTTCTGCCTCTGCATTCTATGAAATGTTGAAGAACCCAAAGGGAAAAGGAGAAATTAAATTGCATAAGAAGATTTTCCTTAAAGACACAGATGATGTGAAACAATTTTAACAAGACCTCTCTGTTCAATCAACCAATATTATACATAATCTCATGGAAATAAATATATATAGATGCACATGTGTATGTGTGCGTATACATGTGTATATATACATATATATGCATACATGAATCACTGGGTACATAGTAACGGTTTATGTTCAAGATGTAATTGTTTGGAGCAAAACTTTAAAATAAAGAAGGCAGAACTGAACATTGTAATATGCCACTTCTTTACTGTAGAACAAAGAGATAGCTAGGTGGTACACAAGCAATTCTGCGATATAATGGATAGAGCTCTGGGCCTGTTATCAAGAAGATCTGAGTTTAAAATCAGCTTCAGACACTTACTGTCCATGTGATCCTGGTCAAATCACTTAACCTCTACTTTCCTCAGTTTCCCTATCTAAGAAATGGGGATAATAATAGTACCTATCTCCCAGGGTTGTTGTGAAAATCAAATGAGACAGTATTTGTAAAATGCTTAGCACAGTGCCTGACATATAGCATGCACTTAATAAATATTTCTTTCCTCCTCCCATTCATTCTCCCCTCTATGATATTTGTCATTAATTAGGGAAGATTTCTATTTTCTTCATTACTTTAGAGAACTACTTAAAAATAATGACCCCTGGGGCAACGAGGTGGCATAGTGTATAGAGTAACAGCCCTGGAGTCAGGAGGACCTGAGTTCAAATCCAGTCTCAGACCAGACACTTGACACTTACTAGTGGTGTGTTCCTGGGTAAGCCACTTAAACCCAATTGCCTCGCCCCCCAAAAATAATAATAATAAAAATAAAATAAAAATAAAAAATAACCCTTTGGGGCAGCTAGGTGACACAGTGGATAGAGCTCTGGCCCTGGAGTCAGGAGAAGCTGAGTTCAAATCCAGCCTCAAACGCTTGACACTTACTAACTATGTGACCCTGGACAAGTCACTTAACCCCATTGCCTAGCAAAATAAGTAAATAAATAAAATAGTGACCCCCTTTAAGTTTTACCTAAAAAATAAACACTCTCAGAAAGTACCTGTTGAGCACTTTGGATTGTTCTTAAAAATCATAAGATCATACAGTGAAAAGACTACTGTACCTAAGAGTTATAGGCCCTGAGTTTGAATCCAAGATTTGCTACTTATTAACTGTGTGACTTGGGACAAGCCACACATGCATTCTAGGCCCCAGTTTTCTCATCTATGAAATGAGGGAGCTAGCCCACATGACCAGTAAGGTGCCTTCCATCTCTGATCCTAGTAATACATTTAGAATTAGAGGGGTTCTTGGGCATCATTTAAGTCATCTTAGTGAAAAGTGAACCATACGTGGCTGAGTGATGCCGGGCAGGTCATCTAAACTTTCAAGACCCTTAGCAACTCTCCATGACTATTAGTTACAGAGTAGTGTACTGATTTATATTGGTAGGAGTTTCCTTCCTGGGAATGAAATCAGAGGTCCAGAGTGGGGGAG